ACTTCAACTCAACTTCACCACCTCGAGCAAAATAACCAATCATCTTTATCATCTTTAAATATTCACAAACATACTTACTAATGGTTATGTTGACTTTTGTAGATTCAACTACTTTAGGTCCAAGATGAATCAGACAAATATTTTTAAACCATCTACTTGAAGATGTTGAAAAACCCTTAGAATGGACTCAAAAAATCCCACTCATTCTTGAAGATGAAAAAAAAACAAGTCGAAGAGCATATCAATCAAAGGTCAAAAGAAAGTGATAACACCAAGGAACAAAGCTAATTAACTGGACTAAAATTGGTCATTGTTTTATCTTTGCTATATTCCCGTTACACGCCAATGAGCAAAGATGGGCTGTTGTAATACTCAATTTTTGTCTAGGTTCCAAACTTATCTGAATGCAAGAGAACCTGTTCACACTAACAATGGTGAAAAGGAAAGTGTCATCATATCAGAGAATATCTCGGAGGAATTTTGTCATATTCATTGTGATCTCCTATCAATGGAAAGAAATATAGCATTTGATGTAAATAATCTATACCATTGGATGTTTGAATGCTCAACTATAAATAAAGGTCTCATTCACCTCTTTTTGACACAGAAAAAAACACAGAGAAAAAAAAAATAGAAAAAGAATGGGAAATAGATGAGGAAAAAAAGAGAAAAAGGAGGGAGAGAGAGTTATCCAAAGTATTGTAATTCGAGAGAATAACAATAAAAGAAGAATTTTTTTAAAGGTGTTCTTTTTCTTTATTTCATTTGTGTTCTTGTTATTCAGGTCACTTGGCCATTTTTTTACCCTTTTTGAAAACTCAATTGAAGAGAGAATCGAGGAAAATAAAGAAAAGACTTTTAAATAGATCTTCATAGATAATGTATTTCTTGAGGTTTCTCAATAAAAATCGGTAGTGAATCTTGAATGTGAAAATATTTTTATTTTATTTTATCCAAAATTCGAGAGAAAGAAAATAATTTTGTATTATTTTTTAGATTTTATATTTGATTAAATGACCCGATTCAGATCTTTATGTGATCCATGTATGTTTATACAGGTAAGAGATAATTGTTTATGTAGTCATTATTATTTTTTCTTTCTCTTTTAAAAATTAATTTGACATTTTTTCTTTATTTTGCTTTAAATTAGACTTTTTTCATTTAGTTTATTTTAACCCTTTATCATTTTTATTTTTTAATTAAATATATTTCTACCGTTGATTTATTTCAAAACCTTACTTTCTTAAAAAAATTAATTCCTATAATCTGTTTGGTTTTTGGACCTTTTTATTTTTTATTTGATTTAGTTTCCTTTTCTTATTTTATATATTCATTATATTTGATATGTTTTTAGATTCTTTGCAAAGATGATTCTAAGTTACTTTTTATTTTTAATTCATCATTCTAAAATATTCCCATATTTTTTCCCTTTCTTCCTTTTTTTATAATATATTTATTTATTTACTTACTTAGTATTTTATATTTATGTATTCTATATGTATTTTAAATTTTATCTTTTTATTTATTTTTTAATTAATTATGAATTGTATTATTTATATATCTATACGGATACATTAATTTTTTGTTTTATAGGATTGTTTATTTATTTTATTTATTTTTAACAAACATTTTTTTAGCCCCGAAGATTCTTTAAATGTAAGTAACTCGGATTGAACTTTTAAATTTTCATTTAAATTCAACTTTCACAATTAAGACAATCATATAATAGTGTGGTACCAAAAGGACAATTCGAGGGTGCTCATCTTTTATCGGTTATAAACGACTCTCGGATTCGATAATTTTTTTAAGATGTAGATCTGGTAAAATAGTAAGTTCGAGGTGCCCCATCTACCTAATTCAAAAAGATTGGTGGTGACTTCATCACCTCAATCCGAGTCAAGACGAGAACCTAAGACCGCCTGAAGGACTGTTACAACAAATTGGTGATTATATCAGGGACATTTGAGAACCAGACCAAAAATCAATTACTGGTTGTCTTTTTAAAAGAAAAATATAAGTTTAAATTTTAATTTATTTTTAATCATTTTTATTTACCTTTGATTATTTTATTTTTTTAAATAAATAATTATACTGAGTATGCTCTTAGTGTTTTTAATTTTCTTTTAAAAAAATCAAACTCTATACATGAGCTCTAACTGTTTTAATGAGGGTGAAAATAACATCTTCGAGGTAATTTATTCTCCGACCTCACGCTTTTGCACTGTTCCTCCGCCAAATCCCCACGTTCTAACGCCATAAACAAATCATTTGGAGGTGACAACTGCAGTTTCCCTTTTCTCAGTTTCTGTTTTTTTAACGTTTTATACATCACGTGAACCATCTTTCATTATCGCTTCCAACCTTAGAGAACGGTTACACCGCGGTCAGGCTTCCATTTTTTTTAGAGCACAGTTAGTAGAGCACAAGGTTCTTAATTTTGAGGTCGTGGGATCGAGTCTCACGGAGGGTATTTCATAATTCGGAGGTTTCTTACGGAAGCTGCTCTCAACCTAGTGTTAGGGGTAGCCTACTATCTTACCTCCGCCTTATCCCATACATATAAGGAAAAAGGGACATCCATTTTATTTTCTTGAACGGAAAATTCTAGAATACGTGTAATTTATAATTCATCACTAATTTTATAAGAATAAGTTTATAATAGTTATTAAATTATATTAAAATTAGTTTTTTGAACTTTTATTTTTTAAAAGTTATATAATGAATATTAAATTTTAATTTTGTTATAAAATAAGCATAAAACTATTAAAAATATTTCATTTGACCCTTCAGTAATAACTAAAATTTAATTTTACACTTAATTTTAATTGATTAAGTTCATTGAATTAAAAATAAAATAGATATAGATAAAATAAATATCATCTTTTAATTTTATATTATAAATATTAAATTTGTACCATATAAATTAAAAATTATTTGATACGATATTATAATATTATGAATGTATGATTTTTAAATTACATTTTGAAAAAAATTAAATGCTTAAATAACATCATTAATAAAAAATAATTTTATTATTTGATAATATAAATTTTTGAACGTCAAAGATTATAAATTTTTTATTTTATAAATACAAAAACAATTAAATAAATAATTAGTTATAAAATAATATTTGCTTAATAAAAAATTAATTTCATTGTTTGATAACTGATTTTTTAAAAATGTTTTTTAATTTTAAAAGTAATTTATTTCATATATTTAAAAAAAATTAATTTTTTTAATTTTTTAGAATTATTACTTAAAAATGTTAAAAATATTAAAAATGAAATTTTAGGTATAGTTGAGGGGATAAATAAGATATTATTCATTAATTCGGTATATTATTTGAACCCTTAATAACATTTCATGATTTTTATTTATTTTTTAATAAAATTTAAAATTTAATGTATATTTTATAACTTTTAAAATTAAATGTTAGATAAAATTAATTTAGAAATATTTGTTATTATTATTAATGGTGTATTTCAATGAATATCACTCATTGTAGAGTGACCCTTCCTTGGATATTGTGTTCTTTTTTTTGTTAGGGATTTTCTCGCCTTTTATATTTAATTTCTTTATCCTACATATGCAATTATGATTAGGAATGAGCATGGGACTCGAATCTGATGGGTTCCGACTCAATTCGATCCCATTGGGTCAGATTTCTTTAGAAAAAAATTCGGATTCGAGTCAGGTCGAATTTGGATTTAGGGTGAAAAATATCCGACTCGACCCAAAAAATATATAATTTTACTTTATATATTTAGGAATAATTACAATATACCCCTCTATATATTATTTTTTTCAATTAAGTCACAACTTTTATTTAATAAAAATAATATTTTTTTATTATTTCGGATCGGGTCGGATCAAATTTTTAAGTTATATATCGGGTCGGGTGGAATCTTGTTTTGGTCGGGTCGGATCGGATCTCGGGTTGAAGATTCTTTGCTCTCGGGTCGGGTCGGATTGACCAAAAACCCTACCTATGTCCATCTCTAATTATGATTGAACCCTGATAATTTTAAGTTATATCTTCATTCTTCAGTTTTTATATTCAATCGTTGCTTTTCGGAGCGCTTTGGGTTTGTTACCGCGTTAATGGGTTACTACAAATTCAAACAACGTGAAATTAAAGAGGATGTGCAAAATTAGATAACGAAGAGTTGAAAGAAGGGTTCGCTCTTTTTGATGTCGGAAGAGGTTAAACTTCGTTGATTGACTTGCATTTGTTGTTTCTTTGAGTTGTTTTCTCATATTTTTAAAGCGTCAGCTGGATTTTCCTTTTATGAGGCATGACTAGGTTGATGACACTTATGCCCGAATCGTGTTGTTTGGTAATGGGGATGAATGAGGGGAGATTAGAGGCCGGTGGTTTGTTATGGACGGGACTTACTGAGTGCAGCATACAATATGTGGGATGTTAGGGACTGAATTTGTCTAAAATGGTTTGTTTTTTTGGTTGTCATAACTGCTTCCAGATTTCATGTAAAATGAAGGAAAAAAAGGTTTAAATTTCTCATATTGTACTGAGAGGATGCTTGTTGCCAGGTTTAGATTCTTCTATGGGGAAGAAGAGTGAATCCAGATGAGAACTACTTTCAGAAGATGAGGGAACTGAGAAGGCAGTTCGGTGTTGGTTATTAAACTCGGAAATGGATTTTAATTATTTGCCACTTTAGTATCATACATAATAAAAAGTCACTAATCTTTTGAGAGCATTCTGACAAATGTCTTTGTACATTTGATTCATTGTGCACACCCACACACACACAATTCTATTTCAACCACCTAAAAGGTTCTGATTGTCCCTCTTTTCACTTTCTTAACTATTGTATTGCTTTTACATTATACTGCTACAATTATATTTGACAGTCTCAGAGAGAAATTAGAAGCATGTTTCCCATGCATATTGTGACATCTTATGTGTTTCTCTTCAATCTCCTTGTTTTCTCTTTTGAATCACAACAGTTCTCCTTATAGACGCTAAAGCTCCTCTTCGATCAGCCATTCCCTTTTTTCATGTTTAACAATGTCGCTCCTTTTTCTTTTAATCATCTCTGGGATACTGGCCAAGGAACTTTATGTCTAGAAAGAATGGATCGCTGTGAATTTGAGTTTGTGTGTTTGTTTGTGGGGTTCTGGGCCTGATGTATCCTGCTGGGGTAATGACTATTTGTTAGAGACGGTTGAACTTCTAATGTGGAATTTTGTTGAGGTGTGGGGTCATCAAGTACTCGGTGCTGATTTCTGTGGCCTGTAATTGATATAAGATGGATTCTTGTTGGCTGTCATGTGTGTTTTACTCTTGAGACTTGGTGTTTATGTTTTGAAGGTAATAGTGAGAGTTTTGATATGGCTGGCTCATGGATGATGATAGGGGTGTGGTTGAACTGTGGACAGGGAGGAGGCGGCAGCATTTATTGTGTTGGTTGTGGTGGTGTTTCATTTTTCTGATCAGTGGTGGTAGTTGTTGATAAGCAGAAGTTCGATCATGAGTTCAGACAGCAAGAGCCGAAGCAGAAGCAGGAGTCCCATGGGTCGTAAGATCAGATCTGATCGCTTTTCTTACCGTAACGCATCATACAGGAGGGATTCTGGTCGGGGTTGCAGGTTTTCTAACTTTTAATCATTTAGTTAGTTTGCTTTCTTCAGATAGTTAAGTAACCTGAGTGAAAATGTGTTAATGCATGGTTCTCAGACTGTTTTCTTTTCTCCCTTAAAAAGTATTAGGTATAAATCAACGTAGAAAAACATCTGTGAATCTATTTGGTTTCATAAATAAAAGAATCCATGTTTCTCTAGTGTTTTATGTCATGGTGGTTGAGTTAAAACAATTTGGGTCTGGATAAATTGTCCTCAGTTTCAGACTGAAAAGGAACCTATAACATGATCCTTGCTTTATGCTTCAGCAAGATGATGATTGATGGCTCTATATTTCTTTGTGCTAGAGTGTAGACTTCAATTTTTATTTTATCTTTTGAAAATATAGACTTCAAATTTACTGCTCAGAAATAGGGTATTCGTTAGATCTATGTGGCTCTAATGCGTATAATATTTTATGTCAGTAGTGTGATTATTAATTCTTCTCTTTTCTTTCCAGGCAAAATAATCTGTGCAAGAATTGCAAACGAACCGGGTCACTTTGCCAGAGAGTGCCCTAATGTGGCAATTTGTCACAATTGTATTCTCCTGGGTACGGAACCTTCATCCCACCTTGTAGTTGAAGCTGAATCCGATAGATCTTTTGAGCTATGAGTACTTGAAGCAACTAAACTAATTGTAATAGGAAACTTTCGTTAATTCTTTGTCATCTCTATGCTTTATGAGTAATAATCTTGTAGTGTGTTTGTGATGGAGCTGTAAGGCCAGCTGTGCTGCCTTTTTTTCCAGTCTTGCAATTTTGGACGTTCTAACCATACAGGAACCGTTTAAACAGGCACATTGCGTCGGAATGCACAACCAAGTCTCTATGCTGGAATTGCCATGAGCCTGGACACACTGCTAGCAGCTGCTGTGGGAAGTCTGGACATCAGGCCAGAGAGTGCACAGCACCTCCAATGCCACCTGGGGATGTGAGGTTATGCAATAACTGCATAAATCAGGTCATATTGCACTTGACTGCTCGAATGACAAGGCATGCAACAACTGTAGGAGGCCAGGTCACCTGGCACGCGAGTGCACAAATGACCCGATCTGCAACATGTGCAATGTAGCTGGCCATGTGGCTAGGCATTGCCCAAAAGGCAACATGATAGGAGATCGAGGTGGTGTTGGTCGTAGTCGTGGAAATATGAGTGTCCTTCGGGGTGGTATTTGGATCGATATCTTCGGAGGTACTAGTGAATTACAGAGGATGCAACCAGCCAGCTTAAGTTGATTTTAATTAGTACCATGCCTCTGATTGAAGGTTTGGAACACTAGATGATTAATGGACCTTTGAATTTGGATATTAATGTACTAATGGTTTAATAAAAAAATAGTTGTCATACTTTATTTGAAACCATATATTGTTATTATTTTTATTAGAACCTCAGTATTGGGTACAATTAGTGTACTAATTGTTTAATAAAAATAGTGTAGTAATTGTCATACTTGTTGGAGTCAAAAGTTATGATGAATAACGATAATTTAAATGTATATAATGGTTAATTTATTAGTAGTTTGTTTAGTTGACTGTGGCGTTAAGTACTTTAAATAACGTTTAGGTTAAAATTCTAACATTATAAACAGAGCAATAAATTGAAAGGATCATTTGTACGGTGAATTTTTATAATATTTAACTTAAATTAATTAATTAATCAGTCGAATAGCATTATATTAAAATTACAAAATAATGAGGGGTAAAAACTCATATCTCAACAATCATGGGCCAAAGAAAGGCCCAAATTCCAGTGGCAAACCTAATTGGGATGATGGATTGAATTGAATTATCAAAGGCCCATGAGAACAGATTCGTCATTACACCATTTGACGTTAGGACAATAGAGTAAAAATAATCGCTACCTCATTTCTACTAGCGTTTTCATTTCATCTCTGCGAACGGCGACGCCGTGTCTCTCTCTCTCTCCCCCCGATTCTTTTCATTTCGTTAAGTAAAAATATTCTTTTTAAAAATAACTAAACGATAAAACGACGCCCGATTTACCCGGAACTCAAAACCCTAGGGCTTTCAATCTCTAGGGTTTCACTCGCTTTTTAATTTTGCAAATCATTTGATTTTATTTTTCCTTGTATGGATACCGAGGAAGAAGAGCCTCACCACTTCCCCAATGTCGATTCCTCCGTTCAATTTGACGATACCCAGGTGACTACAGCTACGGACTCCGAGTTACAGAATAAAAAAGCCGAGTCACGTTCCGAGCTCGAGTCTGCTACGTCAGCGGCGTCTCCTGTTGCTGGAAAGGAAGAGGAAGATGAGGGGAAGGGAGCTGATTTGGAGGTGGCGGTTGGTGATGAAAAGGGCGGCGGGGATTCCATCGTTGGAGAGGAGAAGCACGAGATTGATGCTGCTGTTGAACTTAAAAGTTCTTCTCCGGTTGATGGTAATAACGAAGGTGGTGATGGAGAGGACAGCCGTATGGAAGGGGAGAAAGCTGAATTGGTGGAGGATGCAGCAGTGGATGATGTGATGGACAAAATGGAGGATGAGACTAATTTGTTGGATGAAAGAGTAACAGCTGGAGGGATTGAGGTTTCTGTGGCGGAGCATCAAGTTGTTGAGTCGGCTGAGGAAGCGGGTAACTCGGTGGAGCAAAAGGTAGCTGATTACGTAAATGACCGACTAGATGTTCCAGAGGAGAAAGAGCTGGTTGACGGAGTGGGTGAAAGAGGGACTGACGATAAGGCAGAGGTGGATGGTGCGACGGAGGAAATTTTTGTTAAGGAAGAAACAACTGTGGCAGTAGAAGTGGATGATTCAACAGAGCAAACCGTGGTTAAGGAGGAAACTGTAATTATGGAGGTAAGAGAGGTGGCTGACGTATCTGTGAAAAGTGAATTACTGGTTGATAATGAGGTGGAGCAAAGTGGGATTATGGATAAAACTAGGGTGGATGACATTGCTGAGGAAAGTGAATTTCTGGAGAAACCCGTAGCTGATCTTGCAGTTCCGACTGAGGTTGCGGGAGAAACTGGTACTCACATGGTTGAGAAAGGTGAAACTTTGGAAGAAAAAAGGGTAAATGATGTTGCTGAGCAAACTGAAATTTTTGAGGGTATTCATGCTGTAGAGGAAGTAAGTACTGATATGGCCGAGCCAGAGGAGGACCCTGTGATGGAAGAAAATATGGTGAATAGTGTGCCTGAGCAAACTGAAAATATGGAGGATATTCATGATGTAGGGGCAGCAGGTACGGATATGGATGAGGCCGAGGAGGACCCTGTAATTGAAGAGGAAATGGATGACGAAGAAGATACACAGTTAGGAAATGTAGAAGAGGATGTTGACGAAGCAGAGGGGACTGAGACCGAGATAACAGATACTGCAGAGGTAATGGAAGCAGAAGATGACACTGAGATGCCAGACATGACGGAAGAGTTGGAAACTGAGGCAGCAGAGCAGACCGAGGGCACGGAGGAGATAGAGGATAGTAGAAAAGCTAGTGGTGGCAAGAGGAAGCGGGGAAAGATTTCAAGTACTAAGGTTCAGGAAAAAGCTTTATCTAAGAAGAAGGCAGAAGAGGATGTCTGTTTCATATGCTTTGATGGTGGTGGCCTTGTGCTTTGTGACCGCAGGTGAGTCTACCAAAACCGATTCTCATGCAAGTTGTATATGTATATTAAATGTCTTATGCTTTTTGTTGTTTTTCCTCCTTAGGGGTTGCCCAAAGGCTTACCATTCTGCTTGTGTTGGTCGTGATGATGCTTTCTTTCAATCAAGGGGTAAATGGAATTGTGGTAAGTTGCGTATTATTGCACTCTCTTACTTTCTAATATCTGAGATTATTTAGGGACTCGTGGAATTGATGTTTGCTAGCTGGCACTTATGAACCAGTACGTTGCTTGTCATGGAGGTGCTATTTTGTTTTGTACTTCAAGTATATTGAATTGATGTTTGCTAGCTGGCTGATGCCGATTTAGGAACATGAGCACCGAAATTTTGAACTCTGACATCCCTTTCTCCTTTCGCATTCAATTGCACCATTATTGAAGTTGTTACTTCTTATTTGCAAACGTCGGTTTGATGTAAATGACAGTGAAAACTTGCTGGAGTGGGCTTTCTGAAGGCACTGGAAGTTCAGTGTTAGTTTTTCCCAGCACCATTAAGTTTGCATTCTCCTCAAATTGGTTTAATGGCGCTCAAAAGAACATTTGAAGTGTAGTATCTCTCTGTAGCAATTAGGATTCACCGAAATTTTGAACTCTGACATCCCTTTCTCCTTTCGCATTCAATTGCACCATTATTGAAGTTGTTACTTCTTATCTTTGCAAAACGTCGGTTTGATGTAAATGACAGTGAAACTTGCTGGAGTGGGCTTTTCTGAAGGCACTGGAAGTTCAGTGTTTAGTTTTTCCCAGCACACCATTAAGTTTTGCATTCTCCTCAAATTGGTTTAATGGCGCTCAAAAGAACATTTGAAGTGTAGTATCTCTCTGTAGCAATTAGGATTCACTTATCATTCCAAGTCAAGACAATGGCTACTGGCAAGTGGCAATGCTTGGATTTGTAGTGAAACTACACATTGTAGTTATTGTCCTGGAATGCAATCATCTCTTGGTCATCAGATGCCCTTCTCCCGGGATAAATATTAAATTGAGGCCATGAAGGCTGAGCTTTCCAGTGACGTCAGTGTTTATACTTGTAATACAACTGATCAAGATTTGGAGAGCTTGGTTACCAGCCTTTTTTGTTTAGAAATAAGTGCAGAACCATGCAACTGTTGTACTTTGACTTTATAAGTGAGCAGGAAATTGTCACCTCGGTTTTGGAACTTGCAAATTGATTGAATTTCATGTACAAGTGACAGATATCCACTTGTGTGCAATTGTGCATTTGGGGCCAAGCAACTTCAAATTTGTGATTTGCTTACTGCTATGTACAGTTGAAATTTCAGGAGTGCCATGGATGCTGCACTGGTCTTTTGATCAATTTTTTTCTGATGTAAAGACGACTGCGAATGGCTTGTAGCTATCTTTACAAAAGGCAATTTGGATCTGCCCTAAATGCCCTTTACTTGAGCCAACCAGCTTCTCTTTTGTTTGTTTAAACTATGCGCAAAAAAGGAATAAGAACTTGCAATTTCAGTAACTTGTGTTAAATGATTATGGGACTAGAGATTACTATTCTACGAACACTGGATAAACCTTTTGGGTCTTTTCTTAGAATTTTTTATAGTCTTCTTTCATAGTTCCAATCAGTGTCCGTTTCCTTGAGAAAGCTTAACTTTTAGATGCTCATGAGTATGAGAAGATGCAGTGAGGACTGAGGAGTGTAATCTTTGTGTGAAAAATGAAAGAAAAAGACTAGAATGGAAAATGGATCTTTTGGCTTGAATGAGCAATGGCCTAGACAGTTGACAGAACTGGTTATGCAATTTCGGGATGCATTCGGTGGGATAAGCTAACTTTTGTGGCATAATCCACCGAGTGACAACCATGTTATATGCTTGTTATACCCTTTGGGATCATCAAAGAATGACGAGCATTCTAAAGTGTGAAAAAGGGTATACTAAAATATTCACATTAAGGGTATACCATTTTTGCAGCTTGTATTTGTCTGCAGTTTTTTTTTCCTGTCTGAAGAAAGAAAGACTGGTTCATAAGCTTTTAGAATTCTTTATGCAAGTGTTCTTGTTCAAGATGTGGAATGTGCATTCAGGAATGTTTTTAGAATTCTTTATGCAAGTGTTCTTGTTCAAGATGTGGAATGTGCATTCAGGAATGTCTTCTTGTTTGCCTATTAACGTGACTGCTTGTTTGCTGTTACTTTCTGTTAAAATGCTGCAGTTAAAAAATATGTTAGTTGACACTGTGGTGTGATGCGTTGACATTCTTGCTTAATGTTTATGTATAATTTACACTTCTCAACTTTTGATTTTTATGTACAGAGAAAATGTCTTGTATTACTTTTTACATCTCTATTCTAATTCAAGTTATGATTTCTTTGAATTAGGTTGGCATCTGTGTAGCAATTGCAAGAAGAATGCCCATTATATGTGTTACACATGTACCTTTTCCTTATGCAAGGGATGCATCAAAGATGATGTAATCCTATGTGTTAGGGGTAACAAAGGCTTCTGTGAGTCATGCATGAATCTTGTCATGTTGATTGAAAGGAAGGAG